GCCCGTTGCCCCTGGGGCCACACCCAGCCAGTCTAAACTGAGCCCTTATCAGCTCTGCTTTGGGCTGGGGCTGCTGCTGTCACCTTGGGCTGGTGGCCAGCGGGATGCACCCAAGCAGGCCGGGTGAAGGCCACTCTGCTCATGGCTCTCCTTCCCGGCTCTGTTCTTCCACGCAGCTCCTCACATCTCGTCTGCAGCTTCCCCCTTTCCCCAGCTGAAACCCCCTCACTGCAACCCTGGCTTGCCCCGATGGTGTACCCAGAAGGTTGCAGGGATGCTCACAGCCCCCATCTCCCCTTGCCTGCCCGGAGCTGCGCTGGGGGACACCTGGGGTGCCAGGCAGGGTTTCCCTGCACCTTGCTACCCCTGGTTGCTGCAAACTGCTGCCCAGAGGGGATGGGAGCACCCGGAACCCCCATCCCCAAACCTTCATTCCATGGGGCACCCACCTTTACCTTGCCACAGAGCCCCATAGGGGTCTGGGTTCCCTCACCCCAAGTACCATCAGACCCTGGCATGGGTGCCTATGGGGGGGACACACATAAAGCCACACCTCCCCCTTGGTCTAGCCCCAGCCGAGGCTTTGCCCATTGGTTTCCCGCAGCTCCCTGCCCACCCAGCAGTGGTACTTAAGGCACCCATGTGTGCAGGGCAGCAGCTCCGGCTGGGGTGTGCAGGATGGGGCTCGGGGGGCTGCTTGGTGTGCTGCTGGTGCTGGGGGCTGCCCTGCTGCTGGGTGAGCACCCACCCTGGCCACGCTTGCGTGGGTCAGGTCCCCACAGGGTGATGCCCTTTAGCCTCTGGGGTCCCTGTCCCCACACCTGGAGCAGTGCAGGGGCACTGGGCTTGTTCTCCCCATGCCCTGTGGTGTGTGGGGGGCTCTGGGATGCCCTGAGCTGGCTGCACCATACAGAGAGCAGGGATGGGGGGCTCTGGGTCAGCAGGGATTGGGGTGCTCTGGTCTCTGTCCTGCCACCAGCACAGGGGACAGGGAGCCAGGGACCAGCCCCTGCTATAAGAGCTGGGTAAGTAAGGAGCAGCGTTAAAGGGGCTTGGGGCATGGGTTTGTTCTTCTTCTAGGAGCAGAGAGCAAAGCTCCCCTGGAGACCCCCACATTTGGGGACATCTACCACGTCACAGGTACCGCCTGGGGAAGGGGCACCCCGCTGGGACCAGGGGGTCTGCACCTTCACCCATGGGTGATGCTGCGGGGCCGTGCAGGGCTCCGCACTTGCCCCGTGCTCCCCTCCCAGCCAAGGGGTGGGGGATGTCCTGGGTCCCAGCCCCTCTGTTCCCACAGGAGTCATCAGCCTGCCCTACGCGGAGGTCAGGGAGCCCTTCGAAGCCTGGTACAACCTCACCGGGGGGAAGAGCCGCATCGAGTACTATGGTGGTGTGTGCAGAAAGGAGCCCATCCGTCCCCCTGACCCTTCACCACCTACGCCAGGACCTTCAGGTGCCTCAAGGCTGGGAGCCAGGAGGTGGGGTTTTGGCTTGACTTTAGCGCTGTCCTTGTCCCCAGGCCAAGTGGTCACCTACCAGCTGGGCTCCATCGAGCCCTTTGGTGCCAGTTTCAAGGTGACTCCCCAGACCACAGAGATGGAGGTGAACGTCCGCAAGTGCTTCCGCATCAATGGCACCGACAGTGACCTCATCGCCCCGCAGAGCGTCTTCCCCAGCCTGGAGAACTTCAAGGTGAGCCCTGGGCAGGGTCCTCTGGGATGTAGGATAGGGCAGGAGAAGGGAGAAGACACCCCTGTGGGTACAGGGTGTCTGATGGCTACCTCCCTCGGAGCGCAGAGCAGCCTGAGCTGGTACATACAGGGTACCCGCAGGGCGGGATGTGCCCATGGGTGGTGGTGGAGGTGGATGGGACGCAGACGGGGTGATAGCACAGTGCGGGGTGCTGCTGTGGTCCCGGTCCCTGACACATGCTGTGCCCAGCGGGTGCGGGACGAGTGGTTCCGCGGGCAGCCCTGCGCCGTGTGGCAGAACATCTCCTACTGGGGCCACAAGAAGAACGTCTACACGCTGCGGGTGGGCAGCTCTGCCCAGGGCCCTGTGCCCCTGCACTATGAGGTGCAGGGATACAACAGCCTCCTGGGGTCTCACTACGACAAGTATGAGATCGACTACTCCTCCTTCAGCCACCGCTTCTCCCCCAGCGTCTTCCAGCTCCCCGAGGGTGAGTGTCCCCAACCACAACCAAAGGCAGCACCTTTGTCACTTGTCTTCTTGCAAGAGCTTCATCGTTTGGGTGAATAAGTTTGGCTGGGGAAAAAGCAGGGAGAAATGGGATTAAGTGGATACCTGGGTGATGCGGGTGCTTTCCTAGCGTGGTGCTGGGTGATGTGGCTCTGGAAGAGGGTGTGGATGCACATCTGCATTACCTGTGTCTATATAGAATCATAGAACCATAGACTGGTTTGGGCTGGAAGGGACCTTAAAGTTCCTGCAGCTCCAACCCCTGCCCCGGGCAGGGACACCTTCCACTAGAGCAGGTTGCTCCAAGCCCCTGTGTCCAACCTGGCCACCTCCATGTCCTTATGCTGAAGAAACCAGAACTGCACCCAGTGTTCCACGTAGGGGGCTCATGAGGGAGTAGAGGGGCAAAAGCAGAGTAGAGGGGCATACGGGATGGACGGCCCCCATGGTTTCGGGATGCCCATGTCTGGCAGAGCCCATCCCCATGCAGAGGGCATGAGCTGTGTCCGTGCCTCGTGGCAGGGG